GAAAGGGCTGAGTTCACTCTCTGTTGCCTGACTCATTGGTCATGTGACCTCAGGCCAGCTATTTAAGGACAGTATCATTTTCCTTGGCTCTGAGATGGGGCAATGATGCTTTGCTTTGTAGGGTGGTTGTGAGATTTAAATAAGATGATGTTCTGGTATTATAAGGGTTCCTGGTAGGAATTAATAACCATTATAATTGAAGGTAAAACAATAGTTTTAAAACTTTATTCCCAGGTAAAATATATTATTCTAGATTTTTTTTAAAAAAATAGATATATATATTTGAATCAAAATGTCTTTGGGAAAATTTAAAATAAAATGATCTCTTCACACAGTTTTAATATTTAAAAAATGACTTCAAAATAACATGAAAGCATATAAGTCTTAGTTTTCTGTCCTTTGATATTTGCAGAAAAAGTAAAGCAGCTAATCCAGAATTGAGGGCTAGACACTTTTGTTTAGAAATGATTTTTAAAGAGGATAATTAGTGAAGAGAAATGTATAAATGCTGGCAGTTACTCATACAGTGGTCACACTCTTGCTCTTCCTTTTATTTTGCCTTTAGGTATTATATAGGACATTTTGGTTGCAAAAGAGTAGGGGTTTTGTTACAGAGTTTGTATCTACTCTGACCATTCCATTTCTCAATTCTTCATTCATATTACTAGACTTAATCCCATCATTGGAGTAGAGGCAATCTTTGGCTTGATGGAATTTACTTGAAATTTAGAGATAGTCACATTTTGCTAAGTTGCATAAAATTTTAGATAAGGCAAAGCTTTCAATTCAGAAAAATCAATCTAATGTTTAAATAGCTTCTTGTTTATTTTGGTTGATAGAGTAACCGGTAGGTAAATTTTTGATTCTATCTCAGCATTTAAATGTGTCCACAAAGACTGCTTTTTACTGGGTCCCCAAGAAATGAAAGGTCTTTAAAAAAGAATAACAGTTAACAATTGTTTGAGGAAATTTTTACTTATCACTATTTTAAATTTAGTTCTGTATAGACTCATTCATAGAGAAGCAGACATTTGGGTTCTTCTGTATAGGATTCATAAAAATATTAATCTCATAAATAATCACCTTTAAGAGAAAATTCCTCACAAATTGCATTTATCTTCATTACTTAACACTTTATAAACTCATCAGAAGGAATACTAATATGTCACTTAGTATTTAATATTTACTCCATTGCTGCTACATGCAAGGTAGTATGCTGGGCACAGTAGTGTATAGAAAAGGAAAGTCTGTTCTCAGTCATTGCAGACTCATATACTGTTTTGGGGAATATAAAAAAAGGACTCATTTCTAGTAGGAGAGGTGAAAAACCCTTGCTTTAAGGAAAGAAGAGTTTCCATATGAAAAGGTGAAGGCATCACAAACGGCACAAACCAAGACTGTGAAAGTATCATACACATTTCCAGAATGGGGAGAAGCTCAAGTTATTTGGGAATCAGGGGAGATGATAGATCGAGGTCAGATCATAGAGGCATTTAATACACTTTGGAGGAATTTAAAAATTACTCTGAAGATAATAGAATCATTGAAGATTCTAGACACAAGTGAAATGATGGGCCTTGCCATTTAGGATGATGACTCTCAAGGTCAGGTGCTGGTTGATGGAATGGGAATGACGTTGGAGGTGGGAAGACAGGAGGTTATAAGAATAATCTTGTAAAGTATAAAAGGGGCTTGAGATACAATCAAGACTTCCACGTACTTCAGGGAAACACAAGGAAGGTGGAAACAGAGGGGGGGAGAGTCCACTTATGAAACCATAGGAGTGAAGCCAGGAGGAAGGAGGACGCTAATATTGGGAAGAGTCCTGGTGACTGCAGAGGTGATACTGACAATGTAAATGAGATCCACAAGTAGATAAAGAGAAAGGAATTTAATTTGGGGTTTAACTGGAGGTACAAAGGGGTTCTCTAGATAGAAATGATTAGGAAACAATTGAAAATATGAACCCTAGCTCTGGAGATGGCTTGAATCAAAAGAAAGGTTAATTATATCATTTTCTTAGAGTGGAAGTTTATTCAGGTGGTATGGCCAGAGGCTACAGTGAGACTTTAGGATCAGGTGAAATCAAGAAAGGATTGAATTGGGGCTGGGGATGTGGCTCAAGCGGTAGCATGCTCGCCTGGCGTGCATGCGGCCCGGGTTCGATTCTCAGCACCACATGCAAACAAAGATGTTGTGTCCACCGAAAACTAAAATAAATAAATAAATATTAGGAAATTCTCTCTCTCTTTCTAAAAAAGAGAGAGAGAGAGAGGATTGAAAGAGAGGAGAATATCTAAGCAATTGCATTTGAGACAAGCAAAAAGAATAAAACTAGTGAAATAAAACAGCAGAAAGATAAAGATTGAAGGAAGGTTTCTAGGAGGAAGACATACCAAACAGAACTTTTCAGTGCTTCTCCTTCACTCTTCCCAGACTCCTTCACATCTTTTAGATTTGCTATTAGGAGTCTCGTTTCCTTCCCTCCATCTCCAAATATATCATTAAGTTGCGTAGATTCTATTTCTAAAATACATGGAAAATTGACCTGATTCTCTTCATGGCCACTGCCACTATTCTAAACCAAATTATTCTCATTTTTAACCCAGACTATGTGCTATAGTATATTTATTTATTTATTTTTTCTGATTTGAAATTCTTTTTATTGGTTGTTCAAAACATTACAAAGCTCTTGACATATCATATTTCATACATTTGATTCAAGTGGGTTATGAACTCCCATTTTTACCC